ATGTATTCTTCAGGATTGAGGAAGACTCTGTTTCATAGAGATTTATCCTAGTTAAAAGGTTTTAGTGCTTTAATAATATGAGGCCATGAGAACTCTCTGGGGGAGCAAACATTGCTGACAGCAGAAATGGGACAGCCTGAGACCTTAACTGATGTTTTATCCAGTCCAGAAGTTGGTCAGTGGAGGCATGACAGAAGGCTTCCAGGTTACTGTCAGTAAGGCAGCTAGAGAAAGATGTGCAAACACAGACTTATACCCAACAGGGACTCATTGTGTTGAAGAACACACAGTTAGTCAATAGAAATAAAGCTGTCGTTCAGACATTCATTTCATAGTTCTTACTACATTTTGCTATACTTTGACCCAGGATAAATGAAGGCTTGATAAAGTATAAATTGTAGATCACCTAAGTGTAGCTGGCCCATGGAACACCTCTGTCCCACTTACTCCCTAAGATAGTTTTCTCCAAATACATTCATAATCATGAATAATGAGGAAAACATAATTAACATTCTGAAACAGAGAAAATTTGGGGTTTACTATCTCTTTCTCAGTGGGACAGGTCTGGGCAAAGCTTGGAGTTTTACAGGTACAATAGAAGGAAGGATTTAGGTCTTGTTTAAGGGCTGAGTTATGTCTCTAGCACTGATGGGTTCTTTGGATCTGGCCTGTCTCTGGCTACCTCTAGTTGTCAACTGTGTGTGTGATACATTCAAAGAATATCTTTGGTATAAAGACCTCATCTGATTTGTCTGATGCCTTCATTTTATCAAAAGAAAATGAAAGACAGGTGGAGGTCAGTTTGTTTCCTGGGACAAGGCTCGAGTCTTGCTCTCCTCTGGATTTGCAAATGAAACTGTACAAACCACCTGAGGTCTTGGACATGTAGTTTATTAGTAGATTTGATTAATTAAATTTAATTAACCCTAAAGCTCACTTCCAGTGCTAACAGTCAATAGGTGCAGAAATATCCTATATTCTCTTCTGGAGTATTCTGAAGCTAGTAAGTGCTTTGTGATGTATTCGTGATTTATTTCTAGAGCAAATGTGGTCTGGAGTGGTGCTAGGGGTCATGACAAAGCTAAGTTGAACCAAGCACATCGATTCAGTGTCTAAGTGAAGCATCTTAGACATGTCACCAGGGGCTAGAAGAATTTATTGATATGGATTAAGACCCACTGTCCATCAAAGCAGCAGGTGCTGAAGAGACATCAGTGCTTTGACAAATGGTCTCAATCCCACCACCGGATCTCTAATATGTCACTCTATAGTCCCCAAAGAAATTACTCCCTGCTCTTTCCCAGAAGATGGTGTTCCTCTCTACTTTCAAATCTTATGAGTATATTAACTGCAATATCCAACAGTATACTAATTGATGGTTAAGTGTTTATGAAAGAGGACATCGGGTAACTTCACCTCTTGACCCCTCAATAATCTTCAGCTGCTCTCTAAAACCAAGCCGAATAAGACTATTCCATGTGTAGACACTGTCCCTGACAGACACAACTTCAGGACAACCCTGTCTCTTTCCAACTGTACTACACCCCAAAAGTCTTTCCTGCAAGACATTCTGGAAGCTTCCCATGAATTTTATCATGATCACGCCTGGTAGGTGCTTTACTGGTAGACTGAGTCATATCTACATTAAGTCACATCAACTACAAGGCCAAACATCAGGTACAGAGGTGTGGTAGCATCTAACTGCTGCATGTTAGAGCTGAGGAGACATTTGGGGAGCTTCCTCAGTATTGGTATCAGATACTTCATTTATCTGGTGTTTAAAGGAGTGAGCCATGACAACAGAAAGAGGACAAGAATACAGCTTACCATCTTGTTGGGTTCCTGGACTCATGTGCACTTAAGTATTAAGTCCACTGGAGTATAAGCTCCATGAGGGTAGGGCCCTGGCTTGTTTTATTAACTACTTTGACTCCATCAAGTGACAGAGCATTGATACAAGATGTGAGGCAAGTCATTGTACATTGATTATCAAATTGTTTGATTCCAGCAAGACAGAGCTTATTCATACATAGAAAGTTTTATGAAACAGATCTATTACTTAATGGTAGGGAACAAGGGACAATTGAAGTCTAAGACTGATTGTGACCCAGTTCCCCAAGGTCAGAAATCACACAACTATGTGATTGACTATGCATGCCCCATTTGCACTGCAACTAAAGGACCATGGAAAGAGGCCATACTGTATTTTATACACCGTGAGGGTACATGGCATGCTGGGCTAAAGCACTGAAGGGGCAGAGGAAGAGATTCCAGTCTTTCTGGCCAGCCCTCCTCAGGATGTAACGTTTCTGGCATATTTTTAATTATTCTTCAGAACAACAAGCAAGAAATGGGGGAGAACTGGGTCAGATCAGGGTTACTCAAGGAAGTACACCATGGGCACTAAGCAATGTCACATAACGGTCAATGAGAATGTCACCAGACTGCCTGGTTCCAGATCCCATCTGCACCATGGCCTCACTGGGCACGTGGGCAGGTGGGCTAAGGTTTCTATGCTGCAGTTCTTTTATTGTGGTGCACGCCTTTAATCCTAGCACTTGGGAGGCAGAGGCAGGCAGATCTTTGTGAGTTTGAGGCCAGCCTGGTCTACATAGTGAGTTCCAGGACAGCTGGGGCTACAGGGAGACCCTGCTTCAAAAAGACAAAAAAAAAAGTAGAGATAATAGCAACATACTTCTCTAAAAGAAGTTATGTAGGTCAAATGAATCACTGCTTTTATGATAGTTCTTGATCTACAGCAAGATTTTTTTCCTCTTTCCTGAGTGTATGGGAACATATGCTAACATGCATGGGAATAGACTCAAACACATATTCATTTTAAGATATCCAGTTTTGCTATCATTTACTTATGCGATACTCCAATGCATCTCTTTCCATGGTCTGCGTGGAATGTGTTTCTTGACCTATCCTTCCAGACAGAGAGCTTGAACACACACACAAACACACACACACACACACACACACACACACACACACACACACCAAGAGAGGCTGGTTTAAATGGATACTTGGTGATTTGGGATGATGATGATGGCATAATTTCCTCAGT